TCCCTAAATGCTGGCAAAATCAACTTTCCCTGCTCCTAAATGAGAGACCACTTCCTCTAACATGCTCTAAACTCACAATATGCTTAAGATAGATTCTTTGCGTGGGAGAGAAAAGTGGTGCTAACATAAGCAGAAATACCAGTAGCTACTGTGGGCCCAGTTAAAAACCAACCACATTAACAGTAGACGAAATAAGAGAGTCGTGCTTCTAAGGAGAAATACCCCCATTTAAAATTCTTTATCAGCTCCTTGCAGCCAAACCTGATACGTTTGCTACTGCTTTCCAGCCGTGCTGATTTCAAGTCCATGACTTTTTTCCTGTTAGGGAGCAGTCCACGGACAGCACATGTTCTCAGGGGAACTTCTAAGGAGAAAGCTACAACCTTCCCTTCTCTAAGGGACTCCCAAGTTGGAGGCATGTGGACCGTGTAGCAGTCTCCTATAATGAGCAGAATATAAGGAAGAAAACGTGGGCACGGTGTTCAGGAAGTGTCACGGTAATCATTTCTGACAGTAATCCGGGCAGTAGCCATAAGCTCAGCAGCCCAGGGTTGTGGCTACCACTGATCAGCGGTACTTCTCCTCAATTTAAATTAAAGGAAGACAAAACACGGCAGCCTGAGCTAAATATACTCTGCCCTGTCAGCTTGGACGCTGATTTGAGGTTCATCTTTCTATATCATTCCCAGTCTGCTGAACCTTTCTGACCCTTCAGCACGACATGGCAGAAAAAGAAGAGCACAGTTTTGGGAGCCACACTGTTGTTTACCAGCTCTGTGACCTTGGGCAAGTTATTTAACCTCTCCTGCCTCAGTCTCCTCACCTGTAAAATGGGACTGAAAAATTGCAGTATCTATCTCATAGGGATGCTATAGGAAACAAAGTAGCAAGGAGATTAAGTTAAAACGGAAATGCCATGTAAGTGTTAGCTATTATGATTATTAACATTACTTACTCCTTCCTCTCTTCTTTGCTTTCTTTCAACAAATCTTTGTTGAATGTATCCGCTAGACCCAAGAGTCTACACTGGATGCCATGTGAACTTCAAATATAGACAGGATATAGTTCTTGCCTTCTAAGGAAGGACAGAAGGTAAAGGCAACAGTAAATATATACAAATATCAAATCATGACATTGTATACCTAAAACTAATAGAGTGTTATATCAATTATTCTTCAACTTAAAAACAATTTTTTTAAAGAAAAAATAACAGAAGGATGGCGGTATGGGAAGGTACATCTGGTGGTGGGCTGCGGGAGGGGTCAGGTGGGGGAGAACAGTTGGGAGACAACTGCACAAGGAAGACACCGAGTGGGAGGGAGGAAGGCGGGCCCCTCCAGAGAACAGCTGTCCATCTGGGAAGCTCTCTCAGCCTCTCTCACCCACCGTTCTCTCAAGTTAACAGGAGGCTAAAATAGCGGAGTGTAAGCATAGTGCCTGACACTTGGTAAGGGCTCAGTGAACATTACCTAGAAGATAAAGTCATAGTAGCAAAAGTGACATTGTGAATGAAGAATTACTATTCACCTGGGAGGCAGGTATTGGTGGAACAAGTATCAGGTGACAGGAAGAGGAGTGAAACATGGTGACTTCCCCCAAGTTACTGGCCCTTGGGGCAGGTTATAAAATGAAGAAAACAGAGAGAGTCCAGGGGAACTTCAGGGCTTGGAGGAAGGGCGTGCACCTTTCTTCAACTCCTCAGTCAGAATGACCTGGGGTAACGGGACAGCAGAGTCCCGGGGTTCAATAAAGGTGTGGACTAGGGAGAGAATAATGCCTGTGCCCACCTTGGATGGAGCCCCAAGGAAGACAGGAAAGGCTATTCCCTCAGACTGTCGGCCCCAAGCTGCCAATGGGGTGGGTGGTAGAAATCACTGCATCCTACAAAAAGACAGTCAGCATTATCACTGCCAATTTTAAGGTGAGGAAACTGGGCTGAGGTCACTTGGTGAGTTGGTGACAGCTGAACGTGGAGCCTAAGACTTTGTCTCGGACTTGAAAACCTGTTCCTCTCCCAGCTGTCTCTCAGGGCTGTTTTCACCCCGGTCAGCCTTCACAAACGGATCTCAGGCTGCACTGCAAATATAAGAGCGTGAAATCGGAAATAAAATAGGTGCTTCTACATCTATTTTAATCCCATTTATTTTTAATGACTACTGAGGTTGGGCTTTATGTGAAAGCTGAGAAGGTGGTTTAAATCTTGATTTAGCTCTTGGTTGACTGGTAAAATATTGTCATTCTGCTCAAGTGAAGATAAAAGCCATTGAAAATGCCATCCTTATTTAATTTTCCTTTAAACTAAGTGCACCTCCTGGGCACCTTCTTGCAGGGTCTTAAGCCCCTATGATTTAGCAGTTTCTGGTTTACTGGTGTGCCCCATTCCATCAACGTGTGGCACATACATGTCTGTGGGCCTGTGGCTACTGGAAGGTCATGCTCACCATCAATAACACATACATTCTCATCTCAAGTGGAAATCATTTGCCCTCTTGGTTGAGCATCTCCCATGATATGTGCTATTTATAAACCAAAGGCATTTGGCTCAGAATGGGGGGGGGCTGATACAATTACAGTAATTGTATGATTTTGGGGGTCCCCTCTTCACCCCAGTGGCCTACAATGATGCTCCTGGGTTTCCCACAATCATCTGCTTCTTCTCCTGCCTGTAAATGTCAGCCTTGCTTAGTCATGGGTGGTTTCGAGTTCCCTCATCAGACTTAATCTAAGAACCAAAGTCTCTTTTTCACTAGGTTTCACCTGAGCAACAATGGAAGCAATTTGTCTCTTACACTCGCTCCTTCTGCTCTAGAGTTCATGCCCTGCCCAGCTGTGTCTCCTCATTACTAGGAAACAAAACCCATCATTACTCAGAGCAAGGAAAAGATCTCCGGTTGAGACAGCTTCTTTCTTCTCTAAGTCTGAAATATCAGGTAAGTAGTGCTTTCAATCTGCTCAGAGTTCAGTTGGCATATTTTAGTTATTCTAGATCCAGAAAATGTTCAGAAATCGGGGTTCATTAAGAAGGGTCAGAGAGATGGAGATGGATAATGATCAACCAGGAAATAATGAGGACTGAGGAAATCTAACCAATTTCATCAGGAAATCTCTGTGGTCATCCATCTTTTCCGCCATCAGCTCCAAATTTGGACCTAGGCCCTGAGAGGCAAAAGACAAACCCATCCATCTCAAACGTCCACTCAGGTGAAATACCATTAAATTGCGTTATTGTCCAGAACTGCAGAGAGAAACATTTTTTTTTCTAGTTAATCTGTCAGCCATCAGTTGTTCCCCATTAACTTGAGAGAAGCATCTGGCTTACGCTCTGGAATAAAATACCTTGCAATCTATCAAAAGAAAACCCCTAAGAGTTGTTACTGAAACGAAGAATGGTTTGTTATTTGTTGGAAGTGGGTGGATTCATGCTTTCCCATGAAGTTCATGATCTGACATTCTTTTCTTCAGGGTCTGCATTCTCAGGATGAACTGGAACCTCAATCATACCTGTTTTATGATTTTAAGCATTCCACATTAGCACAAATGAAAGCATTTCATATGGCTTTTATTATCAAAGAGAACAACGACCTCGCTGTGTGGTAAAATACTATCCTTCCTGAGAGTTCTCAAATCCATCTGTTAACATGTCCCAGTGTCCACAGACATTCCCACGTTTTCCCCGCAATTGTTGTGCTTTGCTATAGCATCCAGACCCAGCACAAAGAGAGCAGAAGATCCTTCCAAAATGTTTTTAGACCAAAGAGAACAGAAAGATGACTTAAGACACTTTAAATAAATTTCCTTTCACTGTATCTTGATCTCACTTTGTGAGAAATAGGTATGTTCCTAAATTACCTGATATAAAGCCACGTTTTAATAAATCAAAGCTCTTTAAAGGAATATACGTTCTCTCTCTCTCTCTCTCTCTCTCTCTCTCTGTGTTGGGGTTACATAAATAAACATGTATTTAAAAACTTTTAGAGCCAAAGATCATATCTTTCTTGGAACAAGTACTTTGAAATATACTGCTGTTCAACTCCAAATGATTTCTCCCTTATTTTAGAGTTCTTTGAACTAACAGCACTGCACAGGGAGTGAGAAGGAGGGAGAAGAGGTGGAGGGAAATGGAGAGGTGGGAGAGGGGGAAGCGGAAGAGCAGGAGGAAGGCTGGGAGAGAAACAAGGCAAGCGCTCACGAGAACTTGTGCACGTGGTTCCGCCCAGCATCTCTAAACCAGCACGTGCCCTTGATGAGCGTGATAAGGGAGCTGTCTGTCTGCTCTCTCCTGAGCCTGGCTCAGCTCTGTTGTAACTTACATAGTGTAGGCATCTTGTCACGCTCAGTAGACATGTATGTTTTACCCAACATGCTGTCATGACAAAAAAAAGCCCAACTCTAATCCAAGACAATTGCATTGAGAGTCAATTAATCTTAAAAGAAACTAGTTAAAGCATGAAGTCATAAAAATGGTACACATATACAAAAGTTGATATTTATTTTATATATTCATAGATAAATATATGTGTGTACATTTACTCACAAGCTTGGCACAGAAGCAATGCCTTATTTTTAAACGGGTCCATCCATAGTCTGGAATTCCTAATTGTCTTTCTCATACTGTGATTTTCAGGTTCAGTTTCTTTAAAGGAGAGGAAAAAACCAAAGATGGCTGAAAATCAGTATGACTATGGAATCTGCCTAGATTTTTATGGATTCTCCCCAATCTTTTCAAATTACTGTTTTTATACGTAACTTAGCCAATATTTTTGGTTTTTAAGCAAATTCATCATTGACAAGTCTTTCTAAGACAACAGTGTACATTTCATAAAAAACACCTCTCCTTTTCACACCCATATCAACTGCTTACATAATACTTATTTACATGTCCCAAGTGGAAAGAGTACAAGTGGCATAAACAGATCTGGGAACAAACAACTCACAACTGGCTCCTGAATGAACTGATTGGAGACTCGGGGCGGGGCGGGGCGGGGCGGGGTCAGGGGGCTGGGGCGGGGCGGCAGCAGGCACTAGGGAGCAGTATGCCCTAGGCATCTCCTACGCTTGCCAGAGGGAACCGGGCCCAGCTTGATCGGTGAGTGGGTCCAGTGAGCTCCTCTGCACCTCATCTGAGGCTCAGCCAGAGAAATTGCTACTGATCTAGTCCAGTGCTGGAGGGAAAAAATGACCAGGTTGGACCTAGGGAGGGACTGTAGGTTGGTCTCTAACCTGACGCCTTTCTAAGGCTTTGAAGGGTCATTTTGTCTGCTCAGTCTTCACCTTACAGACTGACTGGATAAACCTCCTCGATGCAGTACATGACACCACTGTAAGCTGCCAGAAAGAAAATGTAGTCTTGCTGTTAGCTAAACAGAGAGAAAAACTAAAAGGCAGAATATAAGCATATATTATAGAAGTTTATGTATATAATATTGTCATTATATAAAATTAAATATAAGTGTATTCTACATTTATATGTGTTTTACATAATATATTCTGCCTTTTAGTGATGTGTGTCTGTAAGTGTATATACATATGTCTACAGTATATATGTGTGTGCATGTATACTTAGCTGATGGTGCTTCATGAGCTTTAAGATCCTTGCACTAAAAATTTGAATTCCTAAAATTTCAGCTATATTGAAAAATTGGCTTAGTTGCCTTGGTTCAGTACTTCAGAGCTCAGTCCATCATTATACTCATCATTGCTAGTATACAGGGTTTAGATAAAAGTATTTTGCATGAAAAGTATCGAATACAGTCTTAGTGTCAAGGAGCGAACAGCCATGATCGTATGTCCTGGCTGATTCCACTTTGCAGTACTTGCAGCTGTCAGGGATGGTATATTTGAAGGGCCTTTATTTAGCTCTTGAGTTTTATTTATTTATGATTTATTATTTACATCCTGCCGACTTCCACGAAGGATTTGAGGCAGCTTAGCTCTTCAGTTAAGCCCATTTTTAATCAGTTTCAGTCACTTCTCCCTCCTCCTGCTACAACCAACTTCAATGAAGTCGTTTTCCCTGTGTGATCAATTAACTTGGACTCCTGGGGTCAGGGCGTTCCTGAGCAACAGAGGCGGTGTGTTTGCATAGACTGTGACCTTTGGTTAGCTGCCTGGTGCAGGGAGCTACCCCAGCAGCACAGGAAATCCTGGCAGAACTTCCCAGGGCATCCCCTTTTGTGTCCAAAGTTCTCCAGGGTATGGCGTGGGTGTGGAGACCCACGAGGTCACCATCAGTGTACCCTGTGCTGTGGGAGCTGAAACATGAATGTTCTCAAGGTCCTTCTCTGATGACGATGAGGAATGTGAACAAGTGCCCCATCTAGTAGGGGTCCCCACCAATATGTTCAATAATCACATGCTCACTCTTTTGTGTGAAACAGGAGAAAGGGCAAAGCTTTAACCTCAGCGCCTGTTTAGTTCTCTACACCTGACAAGTCTCTGACTAATGGAACAAAATATCCACGGGGGTGATTTCAGGCAGCTACTGACCTCTCTGGGTTGAACAGGTCACTGAACTTTACTCTGCTTGGTTCCTCCACCTACACCAGCGACTTTCAACCTGTTTCATCTCATGGCACATGTAAACTAATTACTAAAAGTCTGCAGCACACCCAAAAATATATTTTTTGCCAGTCTGACAAAAAATAGGTATAATTTTGATTCAGTCACACCAGATAGCTATTGTGTTGGCTGCTGTCATTTTCTTATTAGACAGTCTATAGGAAAAGAGGTCAGTGCCTGTGATTAGTCAGTAGTGCGTGTTTTATAAAATTCCTGCAGCCCAGCAGTTGAACATCGCTGACCTACACCACAGTGATGAAAACACCAGGCATGAGGGCTGCCGCACACGGCAGCAGTGAAGCCCCTGAGGCCCTCACACCTCAGAGTTGCTCCTGTGTACAGCATCTGACCGCCTTCCTGTGTGCCCAGCCCCTTGCTCCAGGCATTTCCCTGTGGGAGTGATGGTTGCCTACATCAGTGACTCACAGAATAAGAAAGAACTTTCTCCTTTCCTTTGCCAACACAAGACACTTGAGGCAAAACTTGTGCTGGGGAAAATGTACCTAGAGAGAAGTAAATAAGCAGCTGACAACTGCTAGGACTTAGGTCTCCGGCCCATTGCTTCTTGGAACAAGTTACCAGCTTCTCAGAAGACTCTTGCTCCATTAAAATATGGGGGAAGAAGAAATATAAAAATACTGTCTACTTCCTATGTTCCCATGAAGATTAAAGGGAAGAAGGTGATTTGACGACAACTCAGTACCATACCAAGAAGAGTTTAGATATCAGTGAACTTTGGGAAATTAGATTCACCAAGACCCTGAGGCAAGGGCAGTAAGACTCCCGGGATCTCTAGAGTGGGCTTGGCTCACTTCCCTGGTCCTTCCTCCCAGCCCCAAGCACACCCCATGAGGACCCTAGGCCTCCAAAACTGCCCCAGTGTGTTCTCTTATTCAGGGCTCTGGGGTGGTCCAAAGTGTGGTCCTAGGCAATGACACAGCACAGGTAGTTTCCAAAGGAAACTTCCAGAGTCAGCCAGTACTCTGTAACAGCTAGGGTCCCTGGCCGTTGGTTTTTGGTGTCATGTTCTGCCTCATGACCACTAGATACTAAGGTTTGGGCGGGGCAGATGTCCATCCATCTTTCCCCAAAGCATCAAGTAGAGCATCCCCAAGAACAGGGATGGTGATTAATCATGGTCCAAATAAAGGAAGGGCTATGAAAGAGCCAAATGTCTCCTCCTGATAAGAATGGACACCACCAGTGAAGAGGGCAGGTCTCCTGTGAACTGTGAAACTGAGTTCCCAACCACGATGCATCTCAAATGCATCACAGGCCCGTGCAGATATTGATCCCCTCAGCCATGGAGCAGCCGGGCATGAGTAAGCGTAGCTGGGTACTGAGGAAATGTTAGTACTTGCTCCATGTGCCCAGGATTTCAAGGACAGAGAAAGAGCCATAGAAATGTAGAACTGCGATCTGAACATCTTCTGTATTTCAGAGACCCAGCGGTAAATGCTTGGATCCCAAGTGTTACCTATTTCCTTGACTGGTTCCTTGTGTCTGTCTATGACATCAGGCCCTCGCCTGCATCCAGTGAGCCAGGCTGACAGGTAAACAAATGGAGCAGAGAACATGAGACAACGCTGACAGCGGGTTGCAACACTCTCTGGAGAAAACCTTGACTACAAAGTTAGAAATCGTCCCTCTATGCGACCTCTCCTTTTCTCCTCCAAAAACCTAACATCTCTGATTTCTCGACTGGCAATGAACAAACAAGAGCAACAGTCTGATCACACTGTTAATTCTAGCTGCCTCGGGAAGCAAAAAGGAGTCAGGGATAAAAATCTGCACTCAAAGGAATGATGCAGCAGAGCAGTGAGGAAAACTTTAATATATGAATTAATAGTGCTACTTACAGAAGGAAGGTTGTAGCTGATGAGCAGTTTCAGTTCCTCATCACACCACAGATAGGTGGTGGGTGAATTAATTTGCTTCAGAAGCCAATATACCTGGGACATTTCATAGGAAAATATTATAGTGGCCAATAGTAACTGTAATTTATCACTGTAAATTTAGTGGGGAAATTGAAAAAATAATCACAGTGCAGGTGTTAGACATGTCTAGAGATTATATGTAATGCACACTTTTCTCTGAAAGGCATCCTGAACACCGCTTTGGCATTGGGTCCCACTGAGAAATAGTTGCTACGTTTCTCCAGGAGATAGAGAAATGGAAAAAATCAGGTTATTTGTCACTTGCCCTCTGGGTTTGGCAAAATAAGAGAAATCACACAAAAAGCTAGTCAAAGAATGAGTTTTACTATTATTTTAAAGGACACCTGTATAAGTATCTCAGTATCTCTTGGTATCTTAGTAGACAGGTTCATGCTTGGTAATGTCGAGAGCTAGGGAGCTTCTCCACCTCCACCAAATAAGTCAAGTCCAAGGTCAAAGGGGAAAGGTCCAGAAAGAGGTCACCTAGGGGAGAGACCCTAACAGCCTCCACCACATCAAAAACAGAAACCTCTCCATAGGTGCATGAGGGAAAAAAAAGACTTTGACAGCTTCAGATCAAAGTATCTCTCCATATGTCAACAGAGAAGAGTCAACCAAAAACATAGTCAATGAAAACAATCTGGACAGAGAGACATGATATGAAAATATACAGAAATGAGGAAGAGTAAATATAGAAACCAAAGTTTATTGAAAAGCTGAATTCTATAGTGAGGAAAGTTAACCAATTCTTCCCATCTGATTTGTATTCATTTTCCATGTCCACCACAAAAACAGCTTCCTCTATAATATTTTGATTTTAATTTTCAATTACAGTTGACATTCAATATTATTTTACGTTAGTTTCAGACATATCTCCATGACATTAATAATAATAAATATTTGCTGATCATCGATTATACACCAAACTCTCAAGAGCACATTACACTTATCGGCTCCTTCCCTCATCAAAACAAACCTCTGTGGCCAATTCTATCCCTACCTCCACTGTACAGATGCCAGCTGTGAAGCACAGAGAGAGCAAATGAACTGCCCAGGGTCACACACCTCGTGAAAGGTAAAGCCTACATTCCCACCTGGACCTTGGCTGTCAAGCCTCTGCTCTCAACCGCTAGGCTTTACTCTCCCAACAAAAAGGAAAGTTCAAAGGGAAGAGAGAGAAAACAATGCCAGTGGGGAAAAAAAAGGGCTCTGCCTTCAGCTCGCTGGAATAAATTCAGTCGCTCAACTCCTAGTGCTTTCCTTCTGTATTCCCAAGCAAAGTGCAGAGCACACTGCCGCCCCGGCCTCCACCCCACTGCTCCCCCACTGTGGAGAGGACCTGGGATGTGGGCAGACCGATCCCAAGACATGGTCTCTGAAAAAGCCTATCTTCTCTATGCATGATAATGAGCTGCATTTTCATTGATGGATTAGCATTCTGTGAGCTTGGAAGGGTATTTCCAGATCAAGCTTCAGATCTGCAAAGCTGAAGACCGGCTCCTAGTCTACGGTGAAAAAAAGCCAAAGAAGGACAGTGTCCCTTGAAGTGCAACCTGGAACAGTCATCGAGCCTATTGACTTTTCCAAGAGAGAATAAAAACGAACATCATTTACTGGACACTTAACGATATACGCACCAGACTCTGTATGCAGCTGCTCTACACGCCCCCTCCCTCGTGCATCCTCTGTGCTCTCCCTGCAGAGAGGGGCAGGGCCCACCAGGCCATGGAGTGAAGGCTGGTAGTTCCCCAGTGTTGCAGACCAACACTGCCCTTGGACAAAGTTTATGTTGGCCTGTGGCTACATAAGGCAAATCCGAACAAGACAATGAGTTCTTCTGGAAGCAATACGTACATGGTATAGAGGACTATATTCTGAGATTTTATTCTTCCCACTTTGGGTGTTGAAATGTCTTTTATGAAAGGATTGCAACATCATATGACAATTTTACTAATATCTTTATGTCTGAAGATAAAAGCTAACAAGTCTATGTTGAGCCTCCTCAATTAAAAGAAAAGATGTTGTTATATCATAAAGTCCCCAAGTGTAGAGCCACTGGCCCAGGGGGCTGACGTTCTGGGTTTTGCCTGACATCGACCCTGAAGAGACTTTAGAAAGCAAAGAGTCAGTCCCACTGGCTGAAATATGCCCTGTGCTGCTGATGTCTTCCTTGCTACCTGACTTCCAGTTACTCCCTAAGTCCCCAGTGGCTGCTACCAGTCGGAATTCCCTGTCCTTCCTGGCCAAGCGGACATGCTGGGCAGAGTTCAGGACACAGCTTTAAATGTGGTTTCCTGATTAACAGGGAGACTCCAGTTATGCAGGAAGGAGTTGGAGCTTGCCAACTATAAGTCATAGTCATCTCCCGGTTCTTAGGAACGAACACATCAACAGAAATGACCTCGGGCAAATTACCATTCCCGAGAAAATCCCCGACAGCTCAGAGAGGGACTCTTGTCGCTGCGTTTCATCTTCTGTGCTTTCTTATGATAAGAAAACGACACACTTAAGACTCGGTTACTCTAAAACACATTTAAACCAAACAATTTTGAGAAGGCTGATGGTGACCGAGATAAATGAGTGCTGAAAGGAACCAGACACATCTCTGTGACATCCTGCTGAAGAAAGCGGGTGATGAGAAGAGAGCCCCAAAACAGGTGTCGGGAGTTGGGGTGATTGACCTGGTTCAGAGGCAATTTTGCCTCAGGATCTTAGGAGAAATCCTTCTTAAGTCTTCTGCTTCCTCACCTGCAAAAGAAGATGGCTGGTCCCACTACATTTGAAAATCCTCTGATTCTGTGTATTACTTGAAGAAAAGGGCAAGGTATCTCTATGTGTCGAGAAGAACAGTGAGAAATAATATTGAAAGAAAGCCTTGAAGGAAAAGCAGTAAGCCCCTCAGGGGTCTCCAGGCCCTGCTCAGATGCTGCGGCAGGATGACCCGGGGGAAGGGAACCGCAAGAATGCCTCGGGGGGCTCCTTCCCAGAAGGAACTTCCAGCCCAAGCCCACAGAGAAGTGGGCCTGTCTTGTTGAGAGCAAGAAAGAGAAGGTAAGGAAGAGAACAAGAGGAAAAGATGTGTAGAAAGGAAAAGGCTTGAGATAAGGGGATGCTGTGAGTATCAAAATGAATGCGTACAACTCTGTAAGATTGACCGCCTCTGGGGGCGTGAAGAAGAGAAAGCTGGGAAGAGGGCAAGGGCAGAAGAGCAAAGAAGGAGGGAGGAAAAAGGAGAATCAAGACCCCCCAAAATACATTTTAAATAGAAATAGAATTTCTTAATTCACCCACCATCCATTCACCAAAAGAGTCACCAGATGTGAGGTCCTGTGGCACCCTGCCAAATTAAACAGAGAAAAGCCGCACTCTTAAAGAGAACAATCGAGTAGCATTTTCTGTAACATAGTGAACACAGAGACAGTCCATCTGTATGCAGATATGGAAGGGGGGAAAAAAACTGCACAAAGGGTCCATAACCTTTAAAAAAAAAAAGGTTCTGGGCTAAGCTATCCAGAAATAGAACATTTTGATTACAAAATAAAAACTAGGTCAATAAGATAATGGACATGATTTAAATGAGAATCACAGTGTTTGTAATGGACTAAAAATGGTATCAATATTACTGCAGAGAAGGAATATAATTAAATGTATTTTTAAACAGCAGCTCCCCAGCCCGGCCACCAGCATCCCTCCACCTCATCGGAGAGGAATGTGCTGGCGCGCTGAGAGCTGGTCTGAAGAATGCAGAGTTTCCGTGCTACTTTAGAAGATCCCAAATGACACTGGGTAGCTACATTCTTTCACTTGTAGATCACTGTTATTCAATTATAAAGCAAAGAAATGGAAAGGCCTGGGATCTGACCAGTTCATTCTTTTACCATTTTTACTATACAACCAGGAAATGTGCAAACGGAGGAACAACAGCCACCATTCTCTTTCGTCCAGTGAAACCAGGGGGATTCTGGACCACCGCTTGAGGTGGGTATAGACCTGAAGAGGTTTATTTAGCACAGGCTACAAATTAAGATACAGGGCAGAAGTGCAAATTCCTGGTTTCCTGTCTGCAACTTGTAGTGTGACCTTGTGGAGAAACTCTGACTCTTGGGTGTAATTTATCTTCTAAAGCCTCACAAGCAAAAGGGAGGCAAAGAGGAACAAGATGAATTAGACCTAAGAAATCATGTTCTGGATGGTGAATACAATTACCACAGTGAGCAGGCAAAGGGTACTGTGGCGTTACCTCGGGCGCCTATGTAAGAGGCAGGTCTAGGAGTCTATTTATGATGAAATATCCATGGCCCTTCCAAACTTGGGATGCCTTCAGGGGTCAAAGAAAGATTGAGCAGAATTACTCTATGACAAATATATTAATGCTCTAGAACACACACACACACACACACACACACACACACACACACACAGTATTCCTTATTAAAGGAGATTACATCCATATTTATATGATGGAAATCTCAGAATAAGATATCAGCATGACTATATATACATCTTAACCATTCAGAAAAGATTATTCTCAAAATTTTATGGTGGGTAGGAAACATTTACTAGCAAGTTTTTTAAAAAAAAAAATTAACTATTTAATATGTATGCTTAAATTCCAACATACCAACCATTATTTGCAAGGCATTCATTCATCCTTCGAAACCATAAGCTTACCTCCCATGAAGAAAATCAGTTAAACAACAACTGAGTTTGTCAAACAAAAGACTGGTACTGAGTCATGCTGTAGTGCGATTCCTGTAATGCTGAGTTCCCGAAGTGCAACTGTGTTTGTAAAATGTCATTACATTAGTACCCACTTCACCCCCTCTTTACTATAATAAAAGCTATTTCAATACACAGCAAGTTGACAGACACCATGACCATGAGTCCTTTCTGTAAGTGACCCAAGTAGCTCCAAACCCCTGGTACTGAAATAAGTCACTGTAATAGGTCTTGAAGAATTCTACGCCAAGAGAAAGGCCAAAAAGTTAAGGATCATCTGAGCTCATCCTATCACTCTCGGAGTTGTTCTTATTTATAGTTCCTTCCTATCATCAGGGCCTCTAAACCTTGAAATGAAAATAGAGAAGCAAAAGTGTGGCAAGGGTCAATGCGACCAGGGTAAAACTTCTGCAAACGTCCAGAAAGCAGGGTGCTCAGTTTTCTGCTGAAAAGCATTCACTCAGTATCGTTGTTTAACTCTGACCTTCCACGACCTCAGTGTGGAGATCCTGATAGGGGTAAAAGAAAAGAACCGAAGGGTGAAGCAAGTGAAAAAAACACCAAAAGAATGCTCAGCACAGCATATGACCGGGGCACGCTCTGTTCTGTGAGTCTGGTGGGGGAAAATGGATTATTTATAGGAGAAGAGAAGCAAGATGACAAAATAAGCTCTTGACAAAGAAGATAAAAGCTTATGTTGGAAAAAGCTTGGGGGAAGGAAATGGCATCAGAGTCATTTGCACTGTCATAGAATGAACTTGGTCTAGCAGTGACTTTGGCATATTTTGGCTTCTCAGCAGGGAGAAACCAGCTGGGGGCTGGGGAAACTGGTGTTTTGGGAGAAAGAGAAACAGCTGCTTGAGCACAAGTGTCGTAGGAAGGAAGTCCTCTTCCCTACTGCCAGCCCACAAGACATTACTGTAACACAGTCTCAGGAGCTACTGTAATGAGACAAAGGGGGACAAGACCACTTGCTGCCAATGAATGCTCCAAGAGTTTTTGACAATGGTGCTATTTCAACAAAGGCAAGAAGGGAAAGAGCACTAGCCAACAGCATGGGGATCCTCCTCCATAAACAGTACTCATGGAAGGAATTCTAATTGTATTTATTTAAGTCACTATTAATTACTTACACAGGCTCGGGAACAGGGTGGACTGCTGAATCAATAAATGACGGAAAGGCTACCTATAAATAATATGTAAATCCTCTGTTCCAGGTCTTGTCTCTGATAAAATTTGGGAGTCTGATCGATGTATTGACTTTCAATTCCCTTCTCTCTGTCAATCTGTCAGCTCAGGTAAGTGGAAAGACAAGAGACCTCTCTCTGGAATGATCCTAAGTAAGAGACCTCAGTAACCCCTTCCACTGCCCTATCGGTACACTGTCAGTCAGTAATTATAATAGAAAATCTTGTGGTTTTTTTAAAAATAGTAAGCATTCTAATGGCTGAAAGCCCAAACAGACTGGAAATGAATATTGAATATATCAAGACTAGCCATTTTAATGGCAAAAATTATAAAACACATATTTTCATGTAAATGGAAATCCTGTATTTGTAAAAGCAAGCAAGATGGTTTTGTGGGACGGACACTTACAGGAAAATGAGAAAAAAAAAGATAAAAGATCCCCCTTCTAAAATAAAGTAATTATTTTTTTCTGAGCATACAATTCTCCAAAATTCTGACATGTATGCTTGCTGGGGAAAAAAAATTAAGTTGACAGTTCCCATTCTGTTATCCAACCCCGAGGCATAAACATTTGATTAAACACCTTAAAAGTACTTTTACACTCAAGGAGAAGGCAACAACCCACCCACCCCGATGAAGTCATGCTGGAGCTTGACTTCCACCCGGTCGCTGTGTTGGCCCCCACCACACTTCCAGTTCATGTCTCCCACTCCTCCTCTCCCCACTGGTCCTTCCCCTGAGAACCACACCGTAGGCCCCCAGGGTGGGCTGTCCCCCAGTGATTGCCACCATGCCATGTTTGTCTACTCATGAAACACCGTTTCTATTTCAACAACACCAGAGCCAGAATGGCATGTTCCTGCCCTGGGTCAATGTCTCCATTCCAAAGCAGGATCCTGTGACTTCCCACTACCTCAGGCCTCTGGCCCATTATTGAATACTCTTGTCCCTCGGCTTCTCTTTCTCCTCTGGCTCCTCTGATCCCCTAAAAACCTTAATAAACCACAACTCATCAAATCATGTTCAACTGCCTTCTTGACGGCCCCTATAGGAAGTCTAGTAGGCATCTCTAGCTTACCATGCCAATAAACAATACCACTCAATCACATCCGCGACTCCTCTCTCTCATGTCACACATCTCATCCAGCAACAGATTCTGTTGGCTCTGCCTTAAACATGTGTCTCTGGGATCCAACTACTTGTCTCTACCTCCACCCTCGCTATGCTGGTCCAAGCCATCACCTTCCCCCATCTGGAATACTGAAGTAACCTAACAGCTTCCGGCTTCCACTCTTACTCTTTCACTAAAGTCTATTGTCTGCACCACATTCACAGTGGTTATTTACAAAGTCCAAAGAGACTCCATTCTCCTTCTCAAACTTTCCAAAGGCCTCCCATCACACTTAAAATATAATCCAAAGTTTTATGGGGACTGTAGAACACCTGGTGGCCCCAGAACTCTACAAGCCTACCTCTCCAATGTCATTTCCTACCACACTGAGTCTTGCTCACCCCACTTCAGTTGCACTGGCTTTCCTACTATTTTTTAAACACACAATAACTCTGATTATCTATGTACATAGATTAAATATATTTATACAAATGTTAAATCTATTTACCCACCTACCAACCTGCTTTTTCTGATACAGCTTCAGGCTACACACTCTACCAATAAGGCATCTCAAGTTCAATGTCCCTATGCCAACACAAATCAGACGCTGCACCAAAGAGCTGTTTTCCCATCACCAGGCTGGATGTCTTCAAGTAGCTGCCAACCTCCACTGCACTCCAACCCACAATCGGTGAGCTGCCAAATCCCACCACGCTCCCCCGCACGGAAGTCTCCATTTGTCCTTTCCTCTTTTTCCCTCTGTTCAGTCTTGTGTCTGTCCTGCCTATCTCATGTCCGAAATCCCATACCTCCTCCAGTTGTCCCCTAGCTTCCTCATATTGCTGTGACAAGTGTCTTTCCAGAGGGCTCACCAGGGCTTCTTTCTATACTCAAGTTCAGGTCCACACATGTCAGCCACCATTCCCGCCTCCTATTTCTTAAGCCTTCAACTGCCTTCTTCTGTCCTTGTGCTGTCCAATATGATAGCCACTAACCACATGTGGCTATTTCAATGTCAGTTAATTGAAACGTAATAAAACTACAAATTCTGCTCCCCCGCAGCATGAGCACATTTCAAGTCACGTGTGACTGGGGTGCCCTACTGAGAAGCTCAGCTCTGGAACAGCCCCGTCATCGCAGAAAGTTCTGCTGGAACCTGTCCTCTCCGGAAAATGTACTCAACTCCTACAAGCAAATCTTCTGGTAGAATAAATTCCACACCCAAAAAGGCCTTCTGTCCCAATTTTTACCAAGACCTCACAGTTCAATATCAGGGAGCTCCTGAGACATTCTTCCCTGAGATCCACTCTCATTTTAAGGGAAAGGCAAATTACATTCCGTTCACCCTAACCCGCATCAACATGTCTTCCTTCCATAAAACCTATTCTCTGTGCAGAGTAAATATTTACACATTAATATTCAATTTATATCTTTTTAAATGCTTGCTCAGCTGTGAGGCCTTTACTATCTTGCTCAATAAGGTAAACTATTTTAGATCGAATGCTCTTGGGGGCAGGGCCAATATTTAATGATGCCAAGCATAGAAAGCTCTTTAGTGAGTATGTTTTAATAAGGGTGATAGCATAGTGGGAAAGCATTAGGCTTTGAAATTGCCCTGCATCTGAGGTCCTGTTGTGTTACTTTCTAGCCAGGGACCTTCAGCAAGTTATTTAATCCCTCATCATTCTCAGTTTAAGCATGTGTAAAACAGAGAAAATGAGAACTCTCTTCCTCATAGGGTGGTTGGGATAATTAAGTGAGATCAGACCTGTAAATCTCTTAGCAGTAATTGATACATAATAGCCACTCATTAATGTCAGCCGATGATGACATATATTATTTTAAATAGTTGTAAACAACATAAATTTAAATAATACTTGATTGAGGAGGTTGCAAGCAGGATTCGAAAGAAATCCAGAATCCAACTGCTGGGCTTACAGAGTCAAATGAACATCTTTAGATATGATGTGGTGGATATTACTGAAATATCAAACTGGAAAATATGTATCAGAATAACATAAATTTGAACATTTCCATTCTGCTTCTCATATAAAAGCTGCATAGAGTTTCCAGTTCTTTGGAAAATTCACTTCAGGGACGATGGAACCTTGCTTGGCAAGGTGAACAACTTTCCATTAGTTAAACGCAAGAAGGATGATTTCATTTAAAAGTGAAACAGGAAATGGTTAAATGGGTAAGACCTAACTGATCGTACTAGTTGTTTTTGAAAAATCTGAAAAACAAAACAGTTTAAAGCACATGTGTGCATTACTTTGCATTGAGTGCTTAAAGGTCCATCACCCCAGTGAACAAATAAGGTGGGGCACACACATCCCACACACTCAGAGCATGAGCCAACCTCTCCCAGCCATCAGTAGCTGAAATGCAGAGGTAGCTCTGTGTACTCAATAACCACATTTTGCCAAGCCAGTCATCCCGTCTTCCCTTGCTATGGCTTCTGAAGCTGCTAGGCCAGTGATTTTTAAAGTGTGCCCCTTGGACCAAGAGCAATAGCATCACCGGGAACTTGCCAATTTGTGGGCCCCACCCTGGACTTACTGCATCAGAAACTCTAGGGTTGGGGCCACCTGAGTGTATTTGAACAAGCTCTCCAGATGTCCATAGAGCCAGAGTCTGGGCAGTACACCTGGGCTGCACTTGGGCCCTCTATTCTGGGCGGCTACAGCAGAGAAGACATTAGGTCTCCTCTTGGACAGCTAGTGTCGAAAATATCGTTCACTGGCTCTCACCTCTGTGGACACATGATCCATATCTGCCTCCTCCACTAGGACTTGGTTTCCTGATGTGAAAAGTGATGAATCATTAATAATTTGCCAAGTACAGCCCAGGAAGAAGGGACCCCTGTGGCTCTAAGGCACCAACAAGCTGGGTCACGTGGAACAAGCTCACCCTGGAACCACACATTCTGTCCATCAGGTAGCATGGAGTCAAGATCAGACGGCCCAGAATCATGTAGCTCCATGGACTGGGCCTTTGACGGGAGTCACTGGTCCACCATAAGACGTGGAGCAGCAATGCAAAGGAAGGGTCCTGCAGCTAATTTAGGAAAGCCCCCTAAACACTTCTTGTTTAACTTCATTTTGGAAAACAAAAGAATCACAGAATCATATAACAAAACCCCAGCAACGATATGAAAAACAAACAAAAGGAAAGATACAGGAAACATTCTCCAGAGGTTTTTCAAAGCATAACACTTCTTAACAGTCGAAACTCATTTGCAGGGAAATGAGGAAGTATTCTGGATCTCAAAACTTGACTCACCATGTGAAAAAAGTTTTGAGCAACAATGCCTTAAATGACTTTTGTTGTCATCTTTAAAAGATCTAAAGCAAAAAAAAAAAACCAACCAAAAGCTTCTTTTAGTGCTTCAGTGCTTCCATAATGTTGACAGTTGTATTTTCACAATTCAAATACATTCTCCAGCAGAGCACCTCATTCATTTTTCAGTGGCAGGAAATAAAATTTGCTAGGCATAAATTTAAAGTCTTGTACATTTTTAAAAACAGGTTTTGTTTGAACATTTTTTATAAGATGTATGTAGCCACCTACTGTTTTGGTCACTAAAATAATTTTTAAAATCTAGCAGTCTTTCATAAGTTCACATACAAGATATTGTGTATAGCCAATTTCTGAAAAGAGAAAACAGTGGTTATGTCTGGGCAGTGTGACTGGGGGAGAGACAGAGAAATAAGACTTTCACTTTTTCACTTTAAATTCTTGGGTCCTACTCAGATTTATTTTTGTAGCTATTTTGTATAATTCTTTTAACTGTACCAGTTACAAACATAATAAGTTAACTTAAAAATAATAAGTGCATATTATTGGACCATTAGCCTTTGGCACCCATTTCACTGAATGACACTGAATAAGTTAGGCAGCAGTTTCGGCCAACTTTTCCTACACTCCGAGACTGCAGTCACCAGATGACACTGCAGACGAAGACACCAAAGCCCAGAGGGTGGAAGACACTGCCCATGTCATCAGACTTACTGATGCCGGAGGCAAAGCTCACCCTCGGTTCTCGAGCTCCCTGGTTTATGCGTTTTCTTTAAAAAAAAAAAAAAACCAAAAAACAATCATATCACCTTGCTCATCAGATGTTCTACAACACCACTCATTTTACTCTAAGGCATGAGTCATCATCATGAAGTTACTACAGTGTTACAGAAACACAACTCCATTAGAACTAAAGTTGATCACGCTAAATAAACCCTGTACTTAATCCTGGTTCTTGCAAGGGACCTACTAATATGAAGGCAGAATGATGGGAGGACCTAAGATCAGGAATTCAGCAGTTTTCTTTCTGAATTTGAGTCCTCCACTTACTAACTGTGTCACTAATTGCATGTAATCTCTTTCTACAATACCTTCTTTTTCTCATCTGTAAGACCGCAATTAAAAGCAATACCTATCCACTTAATGGAACTGTGAGGGTTAAACGAAATAATGTGTCAAGTACATAGCCAAATGCTTTTAATACATAGTAAGTGGTCAATAAAAGTTAGCTATTATTAATCAAAATTTAAATTAAAACCTAGATACAATTCAAAACCTCACTCACTCATTCCTGGCTGCTTTTAATCTACTATAAACATGGTCTCCGCCACGAAATGTGACTATAAGTGCTCATCTTTGAGAAGATCTGCACGTACCACAAGTGAGTAACCTTAGAAAAGGCACACCTCCTTGCCTCCCTCACTCCCCCCAGCAGTAAGGGCCAAAAAGCTATGACATAAATGTGTGTAAAAGCACTGTGGAATGGCCAAGTTTCCTAAACAAAAGATATACTTTGTTTTTTAGCTTACCCTGAATCATGGAGGGTAGTGTTTGTTCTCAAATCTCCAATCACCCAAATGACCTTCGACTCTTTCCCCAGCTTAGCGGCCCACCATGAGGACTCCTTCTCGTGGTTCCCCCAGGCCTGGCTGCCTTCCCAGCCCCGGGCAAGGCCCTTCCCCAGGCCTGCCCCTCCACGAGGCCCTCTTTTCTCCTCTCCACCAGTGGAGAGGCCTCTCTGCTCTAAGCCAAAAGTGCAAAAACAAAACAAAAGAAAACAAAACACAAACAAAACCCAAAACCTGTGACAAATTTCTTTTTCAGTCTGAAGAAGGTAGTTTTCCACTATTCTCTTCAGTGAAGGGGAAAGAAGTCAGTCAGATCCCTGTGACCTCCTACACAAAAACATTCTTTGAAGGCACAACAGAATAAGCAATAACTGACAACTTAAACATACCTGAAATACTTCCCCACACATATTTCCAGAGTGTCTTATGACACCACAAAGCTTCAAGCAGCATACCAACCCCTGCATACCGGCTTAAATGGAAATTAAATGATCAAGCCCATTGTCAAGGCGTTTGGAGGATATTTTCAAATGCTTACTGGAAATGATAACAGCAATCTATCGAGAGCTCATGCTGTACAGCTTTGGGCCTAGGAGACTTCCCAGCTCAAGGCTGGTACTTCCAAAAAAGGGCAGCCATTGGGCTGGTTTAGTGACAAAGTCAAAAGAACAGCTTTGGATTTTGAAACCAAACAATCAAAAGCATGAGGCCTGCACTTGCTGTTACCAACAACGGGACTGAGAAGGTTCACGGTCAATTCATTTGCATGGAGGCAGACCAACAATGAGCTTACTCAGTGAGTTTCACAATTAGGGCAAACAATTCTAAAGAATATATTGTTTTTTCCCCCTCTCCTATAGTTCTTCTTTTTTAGATCTGCTGAGGGGGAGCAGAAGTAAAGGGAGAAGAACAGGAAATGGGGTTCTTTTTTAAAAAAAATTGAGATATAATGGACATACAACATGTAATTAGTTTTAGGTGTACAGCACGATTTGATATATGTATATACTGTGATCGCCACAATAAATTCAGTGAACATCCGTGACCACCACATACAATTTTTTTCTTGTTTTGAGAACTTTTAAGATCTATTCTCTTAGCCTCTTTCCAACACACAGTATGATATGGTTAACTAAGTCACTGTGGCATATATATTACATCCCCATTAAATCTATAATGAAAACTTATTTATCTTATAACGAAGTTTATACCTTTTGATCACCTTCACTCATTTCACCTATTTTCCTCACCCCCCACTCTGGCAACCCCCAATCTCTTCTCTGTGTCTATGTGCTCAGGGGTTTTTTTAGGTCCCACCTACAAGTGAGATAATAGAGTGTATGTCTTTCTCTGACTTATTTCACATAGTATAAGGCCTGCAAGTTCCATCTATGTTGTCGCAAACGGCAGGATTTCCTTTCTTATGGCAGAAACACATTTATATATACCACATCTTTAAGGGATGGAGTTTTTGGAGCAGGGCTCTAACTCCTCTTCTACTGTCTATTGTCCTAATAATTTTTTACCAAGTTCCTTGCTGATTCAATGCTTGATTCTTACTAAGCATCTACCTTCCTATTTAGATATTAATGAAACTAAAGATGCAGTTGAGTCAATTAATCACCTTGAGACCTTGGAAGAAAGGAGCTATTTTCCTTTACAGTCTGGGGCCTTCCAGCCACCTGTGTGTGGGACTCCCTGCTGGGTTCTCCCTCATTCAGAGGTTCCCGCAGGCCGGTGACACTGTGCAATGCATCTACTAATATTTGTTATGCTCATAGGCTCATGACACCATGCAGGAGTTGTAGGTCTGGCTAAAGCAGACTTGCTTCCCTTTGATTCACAATGCTTTTCTCTTCATCTGACTCTCCCGCTGCTGCCCATCTCTCTCCCTCTTCCCGCATCCCCCAGTCAGAAACCAGGAAGCTGGAATCAACCACAGAACAGGAGCCTTCCTCCCTGTTACTTCAGTGACTAACACAACATCAGGTCCACAGTGGTATCCAGTGTCTGCTGAATAGGTAAATGAATGAATGAATGAATGAATGAATGAACAAATCTGATGCCCACTGCTACTCTACCCAGGTAATACAGCAAAGATTACCTGGATTTGAGTCCAGAGTCAGGGCCAGATGGATTCAAAAGGATCCTTCTATAGACAGCCAGTGCCAGACCAATTTGCAGGCAGCAGTTTATGTCAGGTTTGCAAAATTAGCTCTTGCTTTTACGTCCCCTCTATCCACTGCCAGTTCCCCAGGTATATCCGAGTCCCCTTGTGTTGTACTCCCTCAGGACTACTTTTCCAGCTGGGACAAGGCTATGTCTGTGTTATCATGTCCTTAGTCCTCTCCCCTCAATGAATGCCAGAAAAGAAACCTGGTAAATACGATCAAGCCACAGTGCTGGGAGAAGATGAGATAGAGGCACCTTAGAGAGAGACTTAGGACTTACTGTCTACCTTCCAAGAACTTCAAATGTACTGACTTCTTAACAATAGCCTAGATAGAAAATTAAATGTTGTTGCTGTTCCACATACAAAAAATGGCTCCACAGGGAAGCTACGCTGGACTTGGAGTCAGAAGATGTGGGTTTGACTCGGGTCTGCCTCCTATTGGCTGCTTATCTTAAGCCACAAATACTCTCTTCGATCTGAAAAGCTGCCACCTGTATAACAGAGAGCATAGTGCCCCTGTCTCATCGCGCTGTTATGGAAATTAAATGCAATGACATGTGTAATTCCGCTTTGTCAATTCTAATGCAGTAAAGGAAGGAATGTGGTGTAATGGTGCAGAAAAGGAGGGACAAGAAGACTATTTCTTGAAAACCCAGAATGTAGGATAGAAAGGGCAATTGGCACCTCAGGAAATGAGTTTAGAAGAGACTTCGGTTGTGATCTGTAGAATCTAACACCTAATCACAGCATCAAAAGTACAAGTGGTCCCTGCTGGAGGACCCGGTGTATTTATTCCTACAGTGCTGGTGATGAAGGAGATGATGATGAGGTGTTTATTGAGTGATGACTATATACCTGGCACTATTCTGAGCACTTTGTATGCTTTATCTTATTCAACCTGACAATAACCCTATGAGGTAAATAATACTACTATCCCCATTTTACAGGAAAGAAATCAAACTAAGGCCCAGAGAGCTTCATTCATCATTAAGTACAACTCTCTGCAAATGCTTACTTTTCAATCAACTGTAGAGGAGGAGGATAAAAGCACTAGGAGTAACAGCCAAGCTTTTATTCAGCTGGACTAAAAGGGTGAGGCCAAAAGGGGTGAAACTCAAGAGCCGGGGTGGCGTGAAGTTATTGACACTGAGAAGAAACCTGCAAGAATCCTAGTGGGACAGCCCGAAAGGACAATATAAAAGACAAAACACAGCCTGTGTGTACGGGGATGGCCAGTAGGAAGCGAGGAGAATGTGACTGTTGGGAAGTCAGCAGAGCTCATCCCATGGCATTTTCCTCACAGCCTGCCCAGTACGCCAGGCACACTAATCAGCAGTGTTCTCGTTCTCAGAGGCATGACCTGCCGCTGTGGCATGGAGGGCTGGGGCGAGGGCATGCTGAGGTGGCTGCTGCCGTCCCCAAAGCCTCGTGCCACCTCTGGGTATTCGGCACCATTCCTGTGAGCAACGGCAGGAGGAAACAGCTAAAGCTAGCTGTCACCACCAGACTGCTAATGAAAACCAGAAAGTCTGCAAACAAAACTGCCAGCTTCTTC